CCATTGCCGCCTCTTAGCCCCTATAAGAGGACCCCCGGGACCTCCTCTTTTCGCCGCCACCTTCGCCCTAGCCCGCCGTCGCTTGTAGCGCCGCCTCCGCGTCAGCCCGTGCGCCGCCGTCGCCGCCGCGAGTCCAGCCAAGTGTCGCCGCTGCTCCAGTCGCCGCCGTCGCTCAGGAAGGCCATCGCCAGGTTCGCTAGGTCGCCGCCGTCCTCGTCCTGTCCTCCGTTTCTGCCGAAGACTGCCGGAGCGCCGCCGCCATCGACGACCCGAAGACCACCGCCGCCTCGACCTCTTTGCCGTCGTCGATCGTCGCCGTCTGTCATCGTCCAAATCGCTGGTGAGTTCGCCGAGCCGAGCTCTACGCGTTGGTGTCCTCCGTTTGCACCGTCGTTTGCCGACGAGCATTGTTTGCCGAGCCGCCGCCGGCGATGACATCATCGCTGATGTCATTGCTGATGTTAGCCGTAGACCCGTGGTAGACCGGATCGTTCTCGGCCGTCCGATTCGGTCAAGTTTAGGTCAATTAGATCTTGGCCGTTGGTTCCGTGGGCCGCTTCTGTGAACCCGGTTTACTGTGGACCGTCTTTGATGACGCAATAAATCCCTTTTTATTTTCAAAATAATTCTTTATTGCGTCATAATTCAATTAAAACCCATATAAATGCTTTAATGCGGTTTAATCTTTAGAAATTCATAACTAATTCATTGTAACTCGGTTTAATGTGGTTCAAGTTGCAAAAGTTTTATAAAATAAAGATCTATATATTAAAATTATCCATAAATTGTGTTAAATTTGTTTAATCCTTTTTAAATAGGCTTTAATTAGATTTAATCTTGTAAAATTGGTAATCAATTCATATGAAGTCGGAATGAGGCCGTTCAAGTCTCATAATTCATCTAAAATCATGATCTACATGTTTTTTTTTACTTTATGTGTACTGTTTATTTGGTTTTTATTAGTCTTTTTCCTCGTTTTGTGTGTTAGCTTGTCGTTTCCGTCGTTTCAAAGGTTCGCGAGTGCGCCGGAAGTATTCAAGAAGATTAATTGAAGACCCTTTATTGCAAGGCAAGTCACACATATCCCAAACACAATTCCTTTGAGCATGTTGATCCTATATTTAAATTCTCTATTTATTTCAACTGTGCATTTATTTTTGAATGTCACCGGGTGGTGTGAACCTGTTCCTTTGTTATGGCCAATTTGCATTGATCACTCTATTTCTTGATTACCTCGGGTTATAATTTGACTAGTTGGATTTATATATTGGTTCAACTAGATATATTAGATATAATTGCTTAGCCATGCTTAGAAACATTAGCACACAATTGGGATAACTAATGTTTCACTATTACTTAATGATGGATATTTAATCATAGCTCATGATGGCTAATCGTGATTGGTTAATTAATTAATTTGCCAACTAAAACTTGATAATGGTGGGTTGTGAGCACATAGTTTTGATGGTCGTGCTCATGACAATTAAGGACCGGTTCACGAGCTTCGGTTGTGAAACATTAACCGTGCCAACCACAAGCCAAAATGGGCAACGGCTGGACACTTTGTATAGCAAGGCTCATTATGGTGTGCCATACTGAGAAGTGGCGGAGATAAGCCCACGGGGGGGGGGGGTGATTATGATCCAGGAAAGGTGCGCTGCTTTGAGTTGAGCTATGTGAGGGGTCTTGTCACAACTACACAAATGGTGACATGTTCAGTATGGGCACATGATGATATGGTGACATATTGTGGAGTTGTGTCTTGTGGGTACAGTGGTACACATCTGGCCAGAGTAAAACTATTCGAATAGCCGTGCCCGCGGTTATAGGAGGATCTAACAATGACTTTTGTGATTAGTCCCACACTACTCATTAATAATAATGTGGTAATTGATAGTAATTAATTTAGCTCCTAGTTTGGAATGGTACATTCCTGGTTTGGAGATAGATCTGTACAGCCAGATATGGTTATTCAGGATAGTTGGGCCTGTGCAGCATGGGTGTGTTGTTCAGTGTTGATTAATATTGATGATTAGTTACTCTACTGTTTTACAATTTTCAAATATTTGTTAAATGCTGCTTTTGCAAATGAGCCCTAAATTATGCCATTCTTTGGTATCCTTGTGCACTTGCATATTTGCTGTGTGGCTTGCGGAGTATTCCATGTACTCACCTTGCAATAATCAATCAAACCTCTTTTGAAGAAAAGTCGCACAGGAGAAGACGTTTGGCTTATACCCCAGTTGAGCTGCCTGTGGGAGTGGAGCCGGAGCTTCGCTAGACCGTAATTCCGCCGTTGTTTTCTCTTTTCTTTTGTAAGTATGTAACGTCATTATTACGATGAATTTGTATATTAAATTGTCAATTTGTGTACCTCGGCTGATTCCTGGACGAGGATTTTATGCACAAATTAGTTCGGAAATTACTAGTGAATTTCTGGGCGTGACAGCGTAGGTCCGTTGACGCTGACCCGCTGCCCAGATTTCATCGAAGTTGATCCTCTTGCTGACGTGGCAGGACTTCATCGCCAACCGTCTTGACGGCGAGTCCCCAACCTCAGCACCATGCCCGTTAGCACTGAGCTAGGACACCTAGGCTGAGCACGGCCGTGCTTGCCAAACCGCTATTTTCTTCCTTCCCACCCCTTTCTCCGGCTAGGGATAGTCGAGCCTAGGGCACTCTCTCCTCCCCTTCACAAATCTCCTCAAATTCACCCCAAAATCGAAGGGGATTTCGTGGGCATTGCATTGGAGATTGATCCAAGGTAAACATCCTCCGAAAAGCCTAATTTTCCAAATATTTGCCCATGTATGCTGACTATTTTCTTTATTAAAACCGTGGTTTGTCATTTGTCAAATGTGGCTCGGGATGCGCTGTGAATTATACTTCCATCTCTATGTTGGTAGGGGCGATTCACGTTGATTTTGCAACTTTTGTAATATTTTGGCATGGGTGAAATTGGTAGGTGGGATGCATTGTGAATATTTAGGGATTGGCATGGATAGTTCATGTTGATGTTGGTAGGGCTACAACTACGGTATATAATTTTTTTGGGCCATTTTGTATTAGTTTTAATGTGTGTAGTTGAACTACCGTGTCGCATGTGCTCCGTAGTTAATATTTTCTAAAACCAAAGGACATTGAGATGTAGGGTTAGGATTAAGGTTATTAGAAAGTAGGCCAACGTTTAAATTCCAAAAATCTCGTAGGCTGTATGAAATATTCTAAAACAATATACATTTTTGTACGCTAGGTAGTTTTGGGATTCCCGTGACATTATTATAGATTTCATACTCTAAAACAATATACTTTTTGTACGCTAGGTAGTTTTGGGATTCCCGTGACATTATTATAGATTACACGTTATGTATTATATTAAAATGAACTTATCTTATTTATTAGTTAATAGATGTATAGATTGGTACGACTTTATTTTGGTGATTATGTGGTAGAGAAAAGTACCGATGGAAACCAAATTGATGAGGGCATCACTTCATCGGATACGCGCATTACTCCACAAGTTACAATGACAACTTGAAGTCCAGTTCGACCTTCGGAGACAGCACTGACTTCACTCACTCAAATTGTCCACTCACAATGTAAGAAAGATTATAATATGCTAGAATTGTCCACTAATTATGCTACATTAGAGCAACCTATAGTGGAACGAATTTCTAATTTGACTTTATTAGAAGCTAAAACTTCATATTGTGCTTACATTGATAATGTTTGTAATGAGGAAGAGTTGTGCAATACATACCACAACTAGTGAAAGAACACGGTACTTCTATTTCGATTTCTGAATATTTGGTTTCCACGCAAAATAAACGTATCTTTGCTGTTGTTGATGACCAAGAAGAGCTGTAATTAATATTTCTTTACGTACTTTAGGTTATATCGAATTTGATGTTTTTTGTGATCTAAATACCTTAGAGAAGAAAATTTATGATTTTTCATGTGTTTCTAGAATAATTATCATGTCATTTGTAAATATAATAATAGAGAGATTACATGTCGAGTCATTGGCGACTTGGCGTTGAGGTCACGAGCCATTTTTTGTTGAAGTTCTAGTTTTGAAAATAAGTTTTTTTAAAGGGCCAATTTGTCAAATTTTTGGGAGGTTGCATAAGTAATGGGGGCTTCTTTTAATCCATGCATTTTTAAAATATACTTTTTGTTGCGACTTTACACAAAGATATTTTTTTGTGACGATAAAACTTTACAATATTGAGGAACAATTTCTGACAATAAAATCTAATGGCATAATAATTAATTAATTAATTTATCCACAATATATACCACTCTCTTCGTTTCAAATTATGACACTTGAACTTTTTCCTAAGATTTAGCAACTTTTATAACACCAAATTAGTTATTCCTTTAAATATATTTTAATAATATATTTATTTGATGTCAAAAGTATTACTATATTTTTTCTATAAGATTGATCAAAATTATAAATTTTAACTTAAAAAAAATTAAAACTTCTAATAATATATAAAACTGAGGGAGTACTCTTAGTGGTGGCGAGGGGAACATCAATAACATGCAGCGAAAGAAGAATTTGATTCGAGGGAAAAATATGTGGTGAGAATTTGATTCGATTCAAGGGAAAAATATGTAGTGGGAACTGCACATGTAGTATTAACCTAGATACTATCGTTGGACCGAAAAATGATCATCTGATATTTGTCCACGTCATTACAAGTAATTTTTTTTTACTCGTGATGACTGAGACGTCCATTTTTTTTATCCAAGTAGTTTTCAAGTTTGCATTATATTTGCGGTTTCCACTGCATACCATCCCTTTGATTCGATTGGCCCCTCGCCCTGCTGTTCTCCCCATGTGTTGTTCCCTGTATTTATAGCCAACAATAGCCACCGACCCCTTTTTCGTCCATTCGAGTGCTGAGCAGACAGCAGTGCCACGCTCGCAAAGGAGCACCATGCTGCTATTCACCAGGAGTTCAGGAAGAAACAGGTTGAGCGAGATGAAGAGATAAGATGGTCTAAAGTGTAACATTAGTAAATAGGAGTAAATTTTAACAGGTCCAAAATACACCTCTTATTAGGTCGGGTCTGGGCTTCAAACATATAAGCAGGCACGTTGTGTTTAGTTGTCTGTTGGGCTTCAAACATAGTACAACCTCAGTGTGGTTATTTGGCTCATTAGAAAACAAACCTAGGGATCCATCTAAAAACGCAATGAAACAACAATTCTCTTTGTTACTTAACAAGCCCAGCCCACAAAAAAAAGAAAAAATATCGAGTTTGCTGCCAAGAAAGAACACAAGTAATATTGGGAGTGAGGAAATGCTGAGGTGCAAACTTGAGATCGACCAACAAAGGAACGCCAGAACGAGCGTGGAGATGGACCAAGAAGAAAATTGAGGAATGGATTCAGACCAAGATATGTAGTTTGATTCAGTTGCAAAATCAATCCCCAACTAGCTTGAAATTAACTTAGTGGCGATAGCATATAGCAGGTGTCTGCAGTCCTTGATACCTTAAGACCTAGATGAAAAAGAAAATGTGATTTCATTAGCAAAATTCTTACAGCTAAAAAAAACTTGACTGATCCTGAGCATAATAGATTGATTCAAATTGATATTACCCCTCTGTCATCCAGATGGTAGCAGAAAGCTTGATGCATGCAACAGAGTTAAATTTTTAGGGTAACTATAAATTAACTTAGATAAACTGGATCTAGTGCTTCGATTATGTATGCTGCCCAATACAACATAACTATTTAGGACAATCCATATGCCATGAAATACAAAGGTCAAATTATTTCTCAGACTTACATTTTAGAAGTATTGGTATACGTGCGTTCAACGACAAAAAAGGAACAGCATATATATCTTTGACAAAAAGATATGTAGTTTGAAGAAAAGTATACTAAGTTCCGAATTTCAGACAAAACTTCTTGGGTTTACACATTAAAAACAAATCCTGGGTTTGATGACTTATGAGTTCTGCATTAAAAATCTTCGTAGTACTATATCTCCTGAAAATAGAACATATAGGAACAAAAAGAGAGTAAGTACCTTGGCATATTAGAAGAAATAGCCCCCGCCATGCGCTAAACAAAAGAGAATATGGCCATATGGGTAGAATTAAACCGGTGCATAGTTCTTTCTTCCAAAAACTGCAATTGTTTGGCTGCAGTACGAAACACAGAGTCACAGACTACCAAAAAAGTACTCAGTCACTCAGTTACAATGGTTACCCTTCAATAGTGATAAAATCCATGAACACAGTGATTACATGTCCTGCAGTGCTTGCCAAGTGGCCATGCAGTTTCACACTTAATTAGTTTGCCAAATCAGCCTAATTCTAGACCCTAAAATTTTCAGAAACCAAAATCTGTATACTAGTGTCCTAAACAAAAATCTGCCTAAATGTGTTCTGTCTGGGTGTATCAAGCCAGAAATTTATAGCATAACTAACAGAACATAAAGAAACTGCCAACCTCTAGGAGTCATCAAACCCAGCCATCACTATAACTAATTAAATTTAGAGAGCATACTAGTTTGATGATGCAAACACTGAGACATCTAAGCTTACGGGTTCTGCATCAAGTGAAATTATTAGTCTCCTAAATACTATTAGTAAACATACAAATCTAGGTAGTAAATAAGCAAACTTGGTATTATTGATAGCTGATAAATCTTAGTATTATTAGTACCTAACGAAACTAATAAATGTCAGTGGCAAACAAAACTAAGTGTTATTAGTACCATAATAACATATCATCTTGTCAAGCTTGCGTGCTATTACTGTAAGTGCTTCAAGTGCACAGGAAAAGGCAATTAAAGTTTAGCCTAATCTCTGTTGCCATGTACAGAACTCAGCAATCTCAATACAGAATACTGTTTCTTTGCTTCCCTCAAAAGAAACAAACAGAGAAAAAAATTAACAGAACAGAACCTTGCAAAAGTGAATTTTCTAGTAGCTTAATTAACAAAAAAAAAGAAGCTATAATTGTAAGGGAAAAAATGAGGTACTGCTAGTAGCAAACAGAACATAGCTATGACAGTTGAAAACAAAACCTTATGTGTTTTTTAAAACCTAACAAAACTACCCCCTCCGTCCCATAAAAAACCAACCTAGTACTGGATGTGACATCTCCTAGTACTACGAATCTAGACATACCTCTGTCCAGATTCGTTGTACTAGAATATGTCACATCTAATCCTAGATTCGTTTTTTTTTTGGACGGATGGAGTAAGTGTTATTAGAGCCTAACAAAAGTAAGAAATGCCCAGCTGCTAACAAAACAAACATATAAAACCTTATGCGTAAAAACCATATAAAAATCCATTAATTACCATCAAACAAAACCTTCCATTAATTCCTTTAATACAAAACCTTATATAGTTCAATGCCTGAATAGAACTTCACATAATGCATATTGCAGAATTGGACTTGCAGTATAATCAGTAACTATGCTAAATCAGGCTCCTTTCCAAACAAAAATGTCAATATGAAAATCCAACTGCTGTAATCTAACAAAAGTAACTCTAATGAACTTCAGGAATCCCTGAGCGCACCTCCTAAAACCACCAAACAAAACTAGGTACTGTCTGACAAACAAAATTGGCTATTACCTTGAACAAAGAAATAGCAAGCTTAACTGAAAAACGCCAGCAGAATGAAATGCAAAAGACAAACAAGCACCAATTGATCAACTAAAGTAGGCAACTTTTACAACAAGGAATAGAACAAGCAAGGGTGTGTGCGTGCATGAACTAAGAACAGCAAGGCAGCTCACCTGCTTGGCCTGGTGATGATGAGATGGAGAAGTATCCATGGAGGCCAAGGCTCAGCTCAAGGCCCCTCTCTTCTCTCCTCCCCAAAGCCATTCCAAACCATCTCTCTCCCTCCCTCAGAGAAGGGGTTCCAAAATGGGGCGCTAGCTGCTAAAGATTACCTCCAATGTCTCAGGCAGAAGTAACAGCATTCATTGCCAGTAGACGGTTCGTTCAGTGCTGTCGTACTAATGCCTGTCACCACAGAACTGGTGCAAGACCAGTCTTTCCTACAAAAGAGATTTCACTGATCTCATTATAATTATCAGGGAGACAATTGACTACAGAGAACCAAGCATCATAAGTGCTCCTCTAAGTAATTAAAAAAAACAAGTAATCTAAATAGCAGACTACTAGGCTTGAATCTTGTATGTGCCCCTGTAGGAAGCTAATAAGAATTCACCACACTAACAAAACAAAGTAATCAAACTGGTAAAGCATTTTTTAACAACATATTTAACTATACCAAGCAGTTCCATTACATGATCATATTGTTTAGTCTTTATTTATCATTCAGACCATGCAATTTCAATAGTGGGTCACCTTCCTACGTTTGTAACTTCTGTGCAGAAGTTGGTGACTAGAATATTCCAAAAAAACAATCACATATAAAATTAATGTCCGGGTTGAAAATGAATTATGCTATTAATGTCACATCAAGTGATCTCAGTTGTTTGAACAAGACTTCAGACCAACAAAAGCCTCAAATGTATAAAAAGATAACAATATGTAAAATTGATAAGACATAACTGGAATTGATCTATATATCAGAGGATAGTTGTCCGAAACATAAATCATTTTTAAATTCTTAAAACGCATGCACATGTACTGCTAGTGGATAGAGACATTTTATGTCACTCCTGAAATATTTTTGTTTTTTGACACAAAACAGTGTGTCAATGTTAAATCACACGTATATTATCATCATGTTCAACGGCACAATCATTGTCATTGCAACAAAAAAATCCAAAACATGTAAGAATGAACACAACTAATGTAGTTCATAGTATATTTGATAACATAGATAAGCTAGGTATGATGCTTAATTTCATATAAAAAGGTATATTTACCACTTACAAATGCATAGTCTTGGAAACAAGATGACTGCTTTACAAATGTACACTAGTGCGAGAAAAATTGGTCCTACCATATAATCTCATATCCTGTCCATAGTAAACACTGAACCGAAAATGTTCCCCTTTCCCACTTAGCGTCCTTGTGAGTCCCTTTAACAATATCACTCATCAAGTCCAATTAGCATGAGCTGTGTTTGTGGCTTGGTTTCCCAAGTTCTTGGTATCCTTGTGCTGTATAATTTTGCTAAGCTGATGAGTTGTACTTCCAGACTAGTGCAAAATCAGTTTCTAGCCAGTGGAGGAGATATGACTACTAGCTGCTTCTTTCCTGAGACCCTTATCAATTATAATCCTCCTTGATTCATCCGATTCAAACCATTGTCTAGCAGCAGCATGAAAATTCGATATTAGCACATGACTTCCTGGATTTTCTGGATCAACCTCCAGAAGGTGCAGAGCTACTTTGTTGCCTCTCACCACATCCATATTAGCTCTACATGCATTCAACATAGCCACACAGATGGAACCAGAAAGCTCACTTCGGGTTGTACTGAAACTACAATAGAGATCCCATGCCTCATCAATCTGGCCTGCACGGCCTAGTAAATCAATAAAACATGCATAGTGCTCTGGTCCCGGATTAATCCCATATTGTCTTTTCATCAAATGAAACATAGCTCTGCCTTCATCCACAAGACCAGATTGTCCACAAGCAGAAAGAACAGCAAGAAATGTAATGGCGTTTGGCAAGACCACTGGTACAGTTTCATCCATCCTTTTAAACAAATCTAATGCTGCTTCCCCATGCCCATGGTGACTATAAGCATCAATCATACTGGACCAGGAAACCACATTCCTGCAAGCCATTCGATCAAACACCATACGAGCAGCCGTTGTCCGCCCACATTTTGCGTACATATCAATAAGTGCATTGCATAAGATCGTCTCTAAAGTAAACCCACCACGGAGAGCCTTGCAATGCACCTGCATACCATACATCAAATTCGCTGTTGCTGAGCAGGCAGTGAGAGCACATGTCAGCGTAATTCCATTAAGCTCAATCCTCCCCAGAATAAAGAAAGCCTCCCTGAATCTGCCATTCTCCACACAACCTGAAATAACAGCATTGTATAGAGCAACATCCTTCGGGCAATCCGTGCACATAAACAGCCTCAGCGCTTCCTCAACAAGGCCACAGCTCATGTAGAGATCTACAAGCGTTGTTGCCATGATGACATCGCCTTGACACGCGAGGATGCTGCGCGCGTGGACCTGACGGCCAGGACGAAGGGCGCGAGACGTGGCACACGCCTTGGCCATGGTGCAGAGGGTTGTAGCCGTGGGTGTGAACCCCGCGGTGGCCATGTCACGGAAGGCGGCCACGGCGGCGCAGGGCCGAGCATGGAAGACCAGGCAGGCGAGGAGCGCGTTCCAGGCGACGGCATCCCGGGTGGGCATTTCGTCGAACAGACGGGACGCCGCGGCTGGGAGGCCCGCATTGGCGTAGGCGGTGAGGAGGGCGGTGGCAGGGATAGGGCTGGAGATGGAGGAGGACTTGACAAGGTTAGCGTGGATGGCGGGAGAGTCAAACGGGTGAGAGGATAGGCGACGGAGCAGCGCTGCAAGCGGCGGCCACATCACGCATTTGGGTTAGGGACAGGATATGTATGGCGGGAGAAATCTAATCTCTAGTTCGTGTAGTCGGAAAAGGAAATGAGAGGGAATGAGAAATCTAATCCTTTTTCACACCGCTACTCCAAAATCCAAAAACCTGTCAAGAAGAGAAGGATGTTTATGTTCGACTAATAGTATGACCCATGTATTTAAATAGATAAATATATTTTAATATTAATAGATATAAATATATTCGATAAAATATTTATAAATACATAAATATCATTGTTTATTAATAATATTTTTCTTATTAATAATTTTAACTTGTATTTTATTATATTATCAATTATATATAAAATTATATTTATAAATTTTTATTTATAGATTGTACTTAAAATTTATAAAAATATGACAAAGTAATTTTGTGACAAAGTATGTCTAGAAAATTTTGTGAAGTGAAATAAGAATATTCTTTGATAAAAAGATAATTTAAGTGACTATGAGTAGTTTGTGGTCTGACTCTTGCTAAGAAATTTATGTGAGTTTGGATGAGTATACAAAATTATGAGAGAGCTTACTTTTTTCATTCTAATGCAACTATTCTAAGGATGTTTGGATGAGTACACAAGAATGGATGCAATGTGCCTGTTCACAATTTATTGACGTGAGATTCAGTCACCAAATTACATCTGCTAAAAGCAAAAATCAAAATCAACAACTTGGAAGTAGGTGGAGCAGAGTGGCGGGCCCAGGATTTTTGGGTTGGGGTATTCGAAATAGGAAGGGATAAAAAAATACAACATCAAGCCTAATAAATGATATGTATGTATAGTTTCGTACAGTTCCAACCTATATAATATATATAATGGCTATAAGCATATTTTCATAAATTCATTGGTTAATGCACAAAATTAGGTAGCCATGCACTACAATAAACAAACTACAGCTTTGCTTGAGTTCAAATTTGTGGCCTGTTCACTTTGATGCCAAAAAAAACCTTACCAAATTTTGGCACCAAAATTTTGGCAACTATGCCAAAATTTTGGTAACTTGTCAAAATTTTGGTAGGATTTATTATATAGTTACCAAAATTTGGCAACAAACTAAATGTAGCCACTTTTTTTGACAACTTTACCAAAATTTGGTAAGGTTGAAAATGGCACCAAAGTGAACAGGCCCTTGGTGTTTAGTCTACAAAATTAGACAACAAATTGGGTTCAAATCCAGTATATACTTGTCTTGTTGGACTAGTTGAGCAAGCAACAAATTACATCGAATTGGGAAATGATGAGGATTGAAGGGTTACCTCACCTCCGGCAATCGATTGAATCGAGTCAGGCATGATCGGCGAGACGGCCTAGCAACGGCGGCGGAGCACGGCGCGAGGGAGCGGCCGCAGCAGCGTGACCAGTGGGAGCATAGGGCCACAGGACAGGGGAGAGGAGGCATGCAAGGGCCGAGGGGAGAGGACGGGAGGAGAGGGGCCGACCGGCTGTGGGCGACGCCTCAACGGTCGTCCATGCGCCGCCCGTGACCCTGCTTCACGCCGGCTCGCAGATGCACGCCGCACACCCCAGTCGCCGGCCCGGCTCGCAGACGTCGTCGCACGCCGCAGTCGCCGGCTCGCAGCCGCACTGGCACCACACGCCGCGGGCGCACGCCTGAGCCGCCGACGCGTCGCCTACTGCCGCCTAGCCACGCCCGCGCCGACGCGCCCGCCTCCCGCCTCCACGCTCCAGCCCGCCTCTAGTCTTAGGGTTAGGGGAGGGGAATAGCCGAATGGGCTGAGTTGTGGCCCAAACTCAGTATGGGCTGACGGCCTGTTTGGTTGGAGGGAGTTGGTGAAGGGGAATGGGAGTCTATGATATCTGGGAGTTTAAGTTTGTAGTTTGGTTGGAAGACTTAGGAATTCGATGGGGTTTGGGATGGAAAATTAAGAGGTCCAATTCCCACCAATCTCTTACCTGGGGGAGGCCTGTTAATTCGTGAGACTTGTAGAGAATTCGATGTGAAACCAAACAAAGAATGGGGACTAAAAATATAACTCCCATGATCAATCCCACCATCAACTCCCTCCTTGAAACTCCCATTCCTCTTCCCTTCTCTTGCCAAACAGGCCGTGAGAGGAGAGGGGGAGGGGAGTGGAAAATTTGGGCCCAATGGTAAAATAGGGCCCAAGATTAGTTTAAGGCATCTTTTTTATTTGTTTGAATACATATGCAAAGTATAGAGTACATATACATATTTTTTTGTCCAAAAATCTTGGGAATACCCTTGAATTACTACTGGGCCCACCCCTGGTGGAGCAGGGCAGAGGCAGATCTAACGTTGTATCTTGAAGAATAACAGAAAATACCTGATGAGGCGGCGAGCGACGAAGCAGGAGGACGCCGGGCGCCACCTTCAGCTCGCATGACGGAGATGGGCGCAGGCGGCAGGGCGAGGAGACGGGATTCGAGGCCGGATGGGATGGAGTACGGGAGAGCGATGATGCGGGGGGAAGCAGGAGAACGCCGCCGCCGCCTCTTCTAGTAGGATGGAGACGGGCGCAGGCGGCAGGTGAGGAGACGGGAGTCGAGGGCGATGGGCGAGGAGACAGGGGAGGATGGATTAAGAGGTCGATTGTGGGGCGTGCCGCGTGCTCTGCTGCCTCTCCGTCCCAGGAACGGGCCCAGGTCCAGGCCCAAGCTACAAGGAATGGAATCTACTTACGTGCCATCTCAACTGTCAGTCCACGAGGCCACCCATGATACATGATGCAGCCGCGCGCGAAAGCCCATTTTGCCTCATGTGGAAGGCGGTTGAGGAGGTGGCGATTTGCATTCCTCCCTCTTATCTTACCCTCGATCGAATTGCATCCATCGACCGTAAAACCGGGTATAACGTCTCCCCCAACTTTAAAAACCAGTATAAATCGACTCATTTAGCATTTTGGAAAGGAGTTTTCACTGACGTGACGGGTTGACCGTGGTCAAATCCAGTAAGTCAGCATAGGGCCTACATGTCAGACACATTCTTTTCTCCTTCCCTCACCTCCCCCTCTCCCCTTGTAGGCAACAGTCGATGTTCACTCCATCTTGTTGCTGCCGATCCATCGCCTTGCGGCGGAGTAGCTCCCCGGTGCCCTGGCCATGCCACCCTCGACACCGTCTGCAGGGAGCCTCCTGTCCCCCTTGTGGAGTGCGGTGAGGAGACAAACATGGTGACCAGAGACACATCCCTGTTTGCTGGATGCATCAGGCAACGGTGGAGGATCTGAGGGCAGGGGCAGCGGGAAGAGGAGCCCCAAGGAACTCGTCGGCCATGGTGGGATAGGAGCGATGGGGTTGGCAAGGTGATGAACCCAAGGAAACGCTTGGATGATGGTGGGCAGCTGGTGGCGTTCCCCTCTCTAGAGATGGGCGGCGGTGTTAGAAGGTGGGGGTTGCATGTTTGACTCCGTGCGAGGGAGGCAGAGCGGGCGAGCCGGTGAGGGAGTGGGAGCCAGGCCAAGGGCATGGGAGGACCCCTGTTCCTGTAGCCTCTCCTACCCTATCTAGATTCGATCTGGTGGTAGAGGTGAACCCACCCCCGGCAATGGGGAGATGGTGACCTCCCTACAGCATCTTTCGTTGTGGCTCCTCTCCCTCCTCATCCTCGCCGCCGCCCTCGCCAGCCACCTCAATCTCGCTGCAACCTGCAGAGGTGACAGGCAATCATAGCAACATCTTAATCAGCCATGGGCTGTCGTCCCCAAGATATTGTGAATTCGCCGGCGGCCACAATGTTGTCTTCGTCGCTGCCCGCTGTAGATCTCCTCGCTGACTCCATCAGTGCCGCTTCCGCAGCAGGGGAGAGAAAGGGGAGAGACAGGGAAGGATAAAAGGATGTAATTGACATGTGGGCTCTACCACATATGATTGCTACATTTCATTGACATGTGGGCCCATGCGCTGACTCACGGTTTTGACCGCGGTCATTCTGCCACGTTAGCAAAAGCCGTTTCCCGAACCATCAAAGGAGTCGATTTGCATCGGTTTTCGAAGTTAGGAGAGACGTTATACCCGGTTTTGTGGTTGAAGGATGCGATTCAATCGTGGGTAAAAGATGAGTATGCAAAATAGACTTACTGCTTTGTATTAAACTTGAGGGCCCCGTCTCCACCAAAATATTTTCGGCACATTTTTTCTAGGTGACAACACTACACTTTCATTTTTGATTAATTAATTAATAACTGACTGTAGTGTACTGTACTGTGGATATCTTGGATGACGACCACATTAATTCTTCATCTAGTATATAACTGAGTATATAATACGTGTATGCATGGTTTGCTTAATAATTATCCAAATTGATGGTGGCGTGGCCATGTTCAGAAGGCTCTCCATGTGGAGTCGTCCATGTCCAGCTGCGGCGCCTGCTCGCCGCATTCCATGTCCACCTTCGCCAGCGGCGCCCCGCCGAACAACGCATCGCCTCCTCCTACGTTCGCCAGAGAAACGCCCACGTCCCGCGCTTGCTGCTGGCTGCACCCGCCGCCGAACGGCATCGTCCCCGCCGCCTTGTGCGCCGCCGCGAACACGGTGCCTCCGACCAGCCCCGCCTGCGTGGCCGCCGGCCACTGGAACATGCCCTGGTTGGCCGCCGCCGCCGCCTGCAGCCAGCTCATGTACGCGCCGACATGAAGCCTGTGCGCGCCGAAACCGTCTCCGCCGCCGCCGCCATGGCAGAGCTCGCCCGACGGCGGCGCGAAGCCGCCGAGGAGGATGGAGGAGACGTCGAGCTCGCCAAGCTCGCCGAGCGACGAGGCGTCCACCATCTCCGGCGGCGAGGCGCCGTCTCCGTCGACGTCGTCGTGCGGCGGGCGGGGCTTGGCGAGGTGGCACTGGAGCTTCTTGAAGACGCGGCAGACGACCCACTCGTCCTTGGCGGGCTTGTAGGGGAACTTGGACTGGAGCCTGTACTCGTGCATCACCCAGCTGGTCTTGGCGCCCTTGGGCGCCCTCCCGCGGTAGAACACCAGCGTCTTCTTCATGCCGGCGAGCGCGCCGCCGTGGAAGATCTCCTTGTCCTTGCCGGTGGTCTTCCAGTAGCCGGAGTCCGTGGCGCGGTTGGTGCGGATCCCCGTCGGGTACTTGCGGTCGCGCATGCTGAAGAAGTACCACTCCTTCTCCCCCATGCTTGCCTTGCCTGCATATCACATCCATCAACATTGCGTTCATGTGTAAGAACGATTGATCAATTCATTCATTTGTACGTGTGCATTTGTAGTGTATGCATGCAGTGATATGATCACCAGTGACCACTAAACTACACCCGTACAATTCGATAATAATGTAAGTGCACGTGTAGAAATTTTATTAAAATTTTCGGGTGCAACTATAAAGGTACGAGAGGGCAATGCAATTCTCACCAATCAGAAAGAACGAGTCTGAGAATAAGAAAAAGCTTAATCGAAGAAAGTGTATAGAGTTAAAAGGAGAGAATTATTGAACAAGTCTTCTGCTTTCTATGAAAGCATGCAGGGCCTTTGGCATTTCTTCTCAAAAGGGAATTCTTGAACAAGTCCGAAAGGGACACAGAAGAGCCTACATTTCCCCTAAAATCAACTTGCAGATCAAAGAATGATTAATGGACGACATATTCATGCATATTATATTACTCGCTGAATCAAAGCTAAACACAATTTAGAGATGCACTTCAATTTCAACCCGCGAATGTTCCGTGTTCAATCCTCAATATGCTCACAATTTCTCCCTTCAAAACTCGTTTTTAAAGCTAAACACACTTACTGGGGATCGAAATCGAAGAGTTAGCTAGAGACTTACTGGGGAGGTCCCATGGCTCGCACTTGTTGAGGTCGACGTCGGCGATGGCGCGGGTGGCGAAGCCGAAGTCGGAGACCTTGCGGGCGAGGTAGTACGTCACCAGCTCCTCGTCCGTCGGGTGGAACCGGAACCCCGGCGGCAACCCCTCCTCCATCACTAGCCCTCTCCTGCTAGCTCGCCGCCGGCCGGTCTTCTCCTCGATCGCCGGCAGGCAGAGCGGCAGTGGCAGTGAGCTGAGCTGAGCTAGCTAATGTCCATGGCAGAGGCACCCGCTACACCTTTATATATACCGGTTGCACACTGCACATGTGTGCGTGAAGACAAGCTAGGCAGTCGCAATAAACAAATAGGATGATCGATCAGTGGCAGCGCATGCTCGTCGTCTTCCTCCTCATCATCTGATCGATCTCCTTCTAGAGCTAAGGTACGTTGCCTCGTGGGGGTTCTGATGAATTTCCAGGGTCGCAACAACCACGGCCATATGTGAGAGAGGTGAGAGCGACGTACGATACGGGAAGGAATATCGCAGGCGACAGCGACGACAGGAAAAGGTATTTGCTGGGATCGATTCTTCTTCCATGATCATATCAGACCACACGTTCGATCGATCGATTCGATCATAGGAACGCAGCTGTCAGCTGCTGGCCGGGGGCCGTCGAGATCGATCGACCGTTTCAATTCCAGCCAACTCCAACCACTTCCCAACCACCAGCACAGTGAAATTAACGGCGACCCGGCACTGGCCATGGCCATCGAGAGCTACTAAGCTATAGCTGCCTCTCTAACAGCAGCTACTAAGCTATAGCTGCCTCTCTAACAGCAGCAATATAATTATACTACTTACTACTCCCTCCGTTTCAAAATGTTTGACACCGTTGACTTTTTAGTACGTGTTTGACCATTCGTCTTATTCAAAAAAAAATTTAAGTAATCATTTATTTTTTTCATATAATTTGATTCATTGTTAAATATACTTTCATGTACACATATAGTTTTACATATTTCATAAATTTTTTTAATAAGACGAACGGTCAAATATGTGCTAAAAAGTTAATGGTGTCAAACATTTTGAAACGGAGGGAGGGAGTACTAATCATCACATTAGTTATACTGCCACTGCTGCCGAAGTGGATAAGACAATGCACAATCAGACAAGCGCGTAGGCTAGCTACAGTATTAATTAGACTAGTTCTATACAAATAAATTGCACTGGCACTAATTTTTCTCTTCTGATCGATGGATGGATGTGTCGGCTGAGTGAGGAAACAAGGCTGGGTCGCACGTGTGAAAAGGACAGATCAATCGTACGATCCTGCTAGTAGCTAATTAATCAAATCGGGTTGTTGCAGTGCGATCAGGAAAGGGCTATGGTGGCATATATATTCTCCAATCGACCGTGCAGGTTTGATTTTTTTGTGCGCTCTATATATTTTGCAGTTACCTCCATCGATTGGCCGCGATTTGGTCGAATCCTGGGAATGAGACCGTACAGTACGTTACTACGTACGTACACCCCCGGCAAAATTGAAAACGACTTGTAATATATTCAGACAAGACAGAATCGATGGCGAAAACTGCGCTGGAATTGAATTATGTATTCGGGCCATTGCTATGAGCAACGGTGCGTTTGGTTGTGTTTTGTTTGTCGGCCAAGGAAAAATTAATAATATATGGATTATGGAACCTAAAGAAAAGAAAACTGTGCTAATCTATACTTTCTATATAACTGTGCTAATCTATACTTTCTATATAGTTGATACCCACTAACAATTATTAAAAACGAAAGCTCAACATACAAGTATGCCACATCATCACCCACTAGCAATTACTATTTTAGACCATTTAAAATCTCATGCAAGCATGCCACATCTTCACTCAGTAGAAATTACTATTCTAGCCTATTAAAATCTCATATAAGCATAACACATCATCTACAATATTATATTATAGATATCAACAAGTATGTGTCAAATCATCTTCCTCACATTATTTTCTTAACATTTCAACTTTTATCATTTTGACAATATTTAACATATACTAATCGATGAATCCTGCAGCAAAGCGCTGGGTATCACCTAGTTATATGGAGTGGTGGAGCTGGAATTTTTTGGAGCCCGGACGAGTCTAACAAAACCCATAACGTACGCACAAACATGTAAAGCCAGACATGGTGTTTCATGCCGATGCGCTTGAATGCTGGACTTAGGAGTTTATTACTCTCTCGTTTCACAATATAATTAAGTCGTACGTTTTAGGTTTGTCCTACATCAAGGCTTAACTTTAACATGTTTATAGAAATAAATATAATATATGTAGTAACATATTAGTTCATTGAATATATTTTTACAGTATAAATCTATTATATGTGTGTTCAATGGAGTGCACAACGGATATGAATAATTCTACCATCATCGTCAAGGTCGTGCCTGGCAGCCTGGGTAGTCGCGTTTCAGAATAATCCCAATCTACGAGATATAGTTATACTCTCTGCAACTCACACAACTACTTAGAGTTGCCTATATACAAGGTTCGCATACTTACATGGCTTAATTCACATACTTGGCTCTGATTGTTACGAAACATGTTTTACGTGGACAAATTAAAGGAATTAGTGGAAAGCTTACTACGAGAAGATAACTTAGCATGGAAGGAAGCTTAGGGTGTAAGCAAGCTTGCCGCGGAAGCAAGCTTAAGACGGAAGCCGTCAACCTTCTCTGCCTATAAATAGAACCCAGAAGGTCCAGGGATAGGTCAACCCTCTCGGATATCTCCTGTCTCCTTCCGTACTCAGATCCAAGAAGAAATAAAGTGTGAACTCGTTCCTACTTCTGCGTTCCAAAGCTCTATATTTGCTTTCTTGTGTGCTGATTGGTAGAATAGACCAATTTCCTAACATATTATCAGCACGGGTCTCTGCTGAGATAAACATGTAAACATGTGAGAAATCAGTTTCTACTAATCAGTTTTTAGGCATTGATACAAGAAATGAGATGTTTAGTGAGGAGTACTTTGTACTAGGTACCGGAGGTTTCGAGGAAGGTTCTTTCTAGGGTGATTCCTAGTCAGTTGCTTGTGACGGTTTGGTATATGGGCATGCCTAAGAACTTATATATTTTGCTATTCTTATTCCGTTTTGTTTAAACTCTTCCATTTGACTGATCGGCACTATGTATGTAGTACAACTTGTGTGCGCGCTAAATTATGTGAACCATGTTAGTATGTTACTAGCCCAGTGGCGAATCCAGGATATAAATTAATTAAGGTGGGGCTAAAGTAAACTAAGAGATATATCAACTTGGTATTTTTTTTGATAAAACCCAAATAAACATATAATAAAAAAAACTTATCGTCTTCTCCATTTTAATTTATAGCTATATTAACATATGCCTAAAAAATCTATGAATAAATTGGTATGATTTATCCAGAGTGCATCACATATTTACAATTTTAGGCACTAAGCACTTTCACAAAATTTTACACTAATTACTAATTATGACTTAATGAAAATCATTAATGGCTAATAAGAACATGGATTGGAGGTGGGGCTTGCGCACCAACAAGCCCCAACAGTGGATACGCCACTATACTAGCCACTAATGATAGGAGTAGTACGGTGTATGCTTCGAGTATTCGGAAATTCCATCCCCAGGTGTTGACATTTATCAACTAATACTCTATGTTGATATTTTATTAGCAAGTACTCCCTCTGTTTCACAATGTAAGTCATTCTAGTATTTTCTACATTCATATTAATGTTAATGAATCTACACACACACACACACACACACACACACACACACATATATATATATATATATATATATATATATATATATATATATAGATTTATTAATATCAATATGAATATGGAAAAAGTTAGAATGACTTACATTGTGAAACGGAGGAAGTATATTGTTATGAGAAACTAAATAATTTTTTGTCATAAAAATTTGGTCTAAAGGAGTATTTGACTTATGTTAGTAAGTCATAAATTGAAGAAATAATGTTATATGATACGTGCTTTAATAATTTAAGAGAAATCAACTAAAATCTCAATGAGTTAAAAAGTAAATTAGAAATATAATAATTTATGATTCAGCTGACAGAAGCTTTTATATTAGCTCAAATATGAATGCATACAAATTTTGTATGTATAATCTAGTCTAGACCACTGAGCTTTCTACTCATTTACAAGCAATTCAAGTAACACACTCATGTTTCTAAGGTCTAATAGCCTCTAAAGTTTTGAGTCATTCATACATTTATTTTGTGAGATATATGGATACTTAGAAAGACCATTATTAAGTTAGATCAGACTGAGCTATATCCACATTTTCACATAGGGAGCGACGATGCAGTTAGATCTGGTAGCATGCTATGGTTAAGTAGACTGTATGATCGACTTAATGTATAATAGATTGTATGACTTGTCGGCGGAACTATAGCTGTTTTACTCAGTAGACTCGTCAGTTAGTCTAAAAATTAAGGGAAGAATATGGGAAGAATATTGGTTGATTTTATCGACCCACCGCTGACAAGATTAAGGGAAGAGATGAAAACCACCATTTTCTTCCCTATCAAGAAAAGGATACTTAGAGACAAGATTTTTTTAGAGAACTTTTACGGTACAAAATACTAGTAGTATATACTTTTAGTATAAATGATCTAACGGTCTAGATTAATTTGATCTTTTACTTAATTAGATTGTAATATAAAATTTGAAAGGGTAAATTTGTCTTTCTATGTTATTTGCTTGGGGCATTTTCGTAAAATTCAAATCATATGGTTGTGCTAGCTTTTCCAGGGCACCTGCTACTCGTTTGTCGCTCACGTCGTGATCTGTCTCAGGCTAGAGCTATGCCCACACGCTCGGTGCCCTCGCAGCTCATGTAGTCACATGTCCCCGCCAGCCGGTGCCGCACCACGCCGTGCCGCCACAATCGCACGCACGCAAAGGCAGCCATCCATCCAGCACTCTCGGTCCTAGGCCTAAGTCAAATTGTGATACTAGGACAGACCAAAATACTATCATTGTCTGCCATTCTACTGAACAATTTAATCTGAACATGGCAATGGTACAAGAAGCAATAGGTTAGCATGCTTAAGCACAGGCTAGCCGTCACATATTCACAAATTGAAGACAAAGTTACTCAAAAAAACAGGATCTGAGGAACAACACAAGGCCTCCCGCTGCTATTTGGGGAAGGGCGGAAGACACGAGCAGGGAGCCCAGATGCCAAGGAGGAGGCTGGCCTGGGCGGTAGGCAGGACGCCGTCGAATCATGCTACCACCTAGAGTGCCGCCATATCTCTCACTAGCGGAGGCATGATGCCAGAGCAGTCGAGCAGGTACGAGAGTCACGTTGTCGCCACGCACGCCGTCGAATCTCGCCGCCGCTGGCCTCGT